TGAAGGTCAATGGAATAAAAGACACAGAAACAAACATATATAGATACATTCATGTGTATGTGACAGAGGTGCTAAAAACATACATTGGAGAAAAATTAGCCTTTTTAGCAAACAGTGCAGTAAAACTGGATATCCATATATAGAATAATAAAACTAGACCTCTATCTCTAACCTGCACAAAACTTGACTTAAAGTGGATCAAAGACCTAGGAATTATACCATAAACTCTGCAAGTACCAGAAGAAAATGTAGCCCCAACACTCCAACATAGTGGCATAGGTACTGACATCCTTAACCAGACTTCTAATGCAAAAGAAATAAACCAAGAATCAATAAGTGGTACAACATCTAATTAAAAAGCTTCTTCAACCAAAGGAATTAAGAGCATGAAGACAGGGCCTACAGAATAGGAGATTTTTGCCAGCTGCTCTTCAGATAAAGGATTAATATCCAGAATATATAAAGATATATCCAGATTATATAAAAATATATAAATATATAAAGAACTTTAAAAACACCAAAAAGAAAAAAAAAGCTGATAGAGACTTCTCAAAAAAAAAAGAAATACAAATGGCCAATAAATATATGAAAAAAATGTTCATGATTTTTAACCATAAGGGAAATGCTAGTCAAAACTACACTGAGCTTTCATCTCACTCCAGTCAGAAGGGCAACAATCAAGAATAAGAACAGAATTACAGTAGAGGGGGTAGAGAGAGAAGAGGAGAAGGGAGGGGAGGGGAGGGGGGATAGTAGAGGATAGGAAAGGCAGCAGAATACAACAGACACTAGTATGGCCATATGTAAATCAATGGAAGTGTAACTGATGTGATTCTGCAATCTGTATACAGGGTAAAAATGGGAGTTCATAACCCACTTGAATCAAAGTGTGAAATATGATATATCAAGAACTATGTAATGTTTTGAACAACCAACAATAAAAAAAATAAGAACAAAATGTGGGCAAAGTTGTGGGGACAAGGTATACTTATACATTGCTGGTGGGAATGTAACTAGTACAACTACTCTAGAAAGCAGTATGGAGATTCTTTATAATAGTACCATTTGACCCATCTATCCCATCACTCAGTATATATCCAAAGGACTTAAAATCAGTGTATACAGTGACACAACCACATCAATGTTTATAGCAGTGCAAGTCACCATAACCAGATTATGGAATCAGCCAAATATCTGCCAAAAGACAAATGGACTAAGAAAATGTCATATATGTACACAATGGAGTTTTACTCAGCCATAAAGAAGAATGAAATAATGGCATTTACTAACAAATGGATGGAAATGGAGAAAACCATGCTAAGTGAAATAAGCCAGAGTCAAAGTCAAATGTCAAATGTTTTCTCCCATAGGTGGAAGCTAGAAAAAGGCAGGGCAGGGAACATCATCAAAATAGAAAAGAGATCAGTGAAATAAAGAAAGGAGATTGAAGGGGAAGAAAGAAGGATAGAAGTAGGGAGAAACAACAGAATGAAACTGACCAAACTATCCTATGTACACATGAATATACCACAGTGAATTTCACCTTTATGTACATCTTTAATGCACCAATAATATATATATATATATATATATATATATATATATCCCCATAGAATAGAGGAAACAGATTGGGGAAAGAGAGGGAAAGGGGAAATACTGGGGACTGATTTGGAAAAAATTAAATTCCATGCTTGCATACTTAGGTCAAAATGAAACCCTATCTTATGTTTAATTATCATGCACCAATAAATTTAAAAAACACCCAAATGTGAGTAAGCTAGAGCTTCCAATTATGAATAATTGGGCATTTGACAGGGAGCATCTACTCCTGATTCCTGTATGCAGGATGTTCTTCCTAAGACAAAAGGACACTTCACCTCTCTTTTGAGACCCTCCAATATGTTCTTCAACTTTATTCCCCAATCTGTTTTCCCGGGACCCAAAGGGGGTAATTTCAAAAAAATTTTTAAATAGGAAGAGGTTTTCTCCTTTTTCCAACGTTGAATCTGAGTCCTTGCTCTTTTAGAAACAATATCTACAAAGCACAGGGTCCTGAAATAGATCCTGAGGATGAAAGCTCTGTGAGGAACCTGGTTTCTAGGTGTGGTCCCACTGGGCTCCCCACTTTTCACTGTCAAAGGATTTGCTGAGGTACTGGGTCAGAGCCTTGAAACCAGAATAAACCATCTGCCCAGACTGCTCCCAGTGACTCATTGTGGGGGCAGAAGTTGGAAGCTCATTGAAGTTCAATGATGCTGTGAGAAGCTAATCCCTCTGGTCAGGGTGGAGCAGCTTCATCAGTCCCACCTTTCTATGGATAACACATTTCAATTTGGAAAATTACTTCCAAGAACATAGTCTTTTATAGTTAAAGCTTCATCCCGGGCTTTCATAAATTGACTTCCAAACCACTCACGTATAATCAAATCAAGCCTTTATTGAAGCACACTGGTGGCAACTGACCAGAACATAAAGCTGTTCCCCTGATCAGTCCCGAACAATTGCAAGGGTGCTCCTAATAAACCTGAAAACCACAAAAGGGACATTTGGGGGTCTAGCCAATGCAAGCAAGCCAGGTTACAGAAGGAGGAGAATGCAGTCAGGTGGAGGGATGCTCAGCCAATCACAATTATCCCAGTCATCCAAGTTACACAAACAGAGTCCCGTTACCTAGTTACAGAAACAATGTCCCATTAGGTAGTTCTGTGTTCTTAAAGGTTTCTATAGCAAAAGGAAAAGAACATCTTGCCCTGGTCATGACCCTTCTATTTGGCATGGTTGTTTTACAAAATGGAGTTACAAAACAAAATGGAGTCACTTTGGCTCGACTATCATAGTCCATGGAAATTCCTGGAGAGTAATCTAAACCAGCCAAATTTCAGAAGAGATACCCATAAAAAGGATCTACAAAGAGTGGGGTCTCTGAGTTCAGAACCAGCACTTGCTCCAGGAGTGATTTCACTTGTACTTCCACCTCCACACCCCCAGTGCTACAGATGCAACCCAGGGCCTTGCACACACTAGGCAGTCCTTCTCTTGAGTCTTTCGCATCTTGATTACACTATAGCTTTCAGGATAGCTTTATTAAATAAACATAATTTAACATATCCTGATTCTTTCTTATATTTTACTTCATTTTTATTAACACATGTAAATTGCACATGTTAAAGGGCTCATTGTAATATTTTTTGTTTAGAGAGAGAGAGAATCTTTTTTGTAGATGGACACAACACATGACTTTTATTTTTTTATGTAGTGCTGAGAATTGAATCCGGGTCCCGCCCATGATAGGCAAGCACTCTACTGCTGAGCCAGAATCCCAGCCCCTCATTGTGATATGTTTACACATGCATAGAATGCACTAACAAAATCCAACCTCCCTATATGTACCCTCCTCTACCTACCTATTGAGACCTTCCAATATGTTCTTCAACTTTATTCCCCAACCTCTACCCACATTCCATTGTACCATCTACATAATATTAAGTAGTAAATGTTTTAGGGTAGTAAATTATTTTTAATTGTAGCAATATAAAATTTACTATTTTAACCGTTGTTATTGTACAGGTTAGTGGCATTAAATAGATTCATCTTATTATGCAACCACTATCATTGCCTTCAAAACTCTGTTCATCTTGCAACACTGAACTTTGTATCATTAAACGATAACTCCCCATTCTCAACTTTCCCCTGTCCCTGAAAACCACCCACATAATAACCCATACAGACTTTCTGTTATGCATTTATTTGCCTGTTTCTGACAACTCATACATACAATCACAGTATTGGTCCTTCTGTTTCTGGATTAATTCACAAAATAATGTCTTCAAATTTCATCCATGTCATAGTATGTGTCAGAATTTTCTCTCTTCTTAAGGCTGAATAATATTCCATTCACAAGTACACCACACTTTATCTTTTTCTTCCTCAATGGACATGTGGGATGTTTCTACATTTTAGCTATTGTAAATAATTCTGATATGAATATGGAGATATAAATTTCTCTTTGATAACCTGTTTTCATTTCTTTTGGGTATATTCAGAAGTGGAATTTCCTGAATCCAAGATAATACAATTTTGTGAAGCTAATGTCATGATACTTTTTTGTAAGTAGCAAATTTTAATTCATCAAGTCAGCTCACTCTTCTCTAGATATGACATACCCTATGAGCCACCCAGGCAACAGAGTCGTTAGAAGTATCAAAACACTCTTTCATGGTCTGGGGTATAATTCAGCTGACAGAGCTCTTGCCTAGCATTAGGGATGCCCTGAATATAATTTCTAGCATCACACACACTCAAAACAAATAAACAAACAAAAAACATACAAACAACAACAACAAAAAAAAGTTTCTTCCTCCTCCATTAAGTATTCTGGACCACTGTGGTAAAGAAAAGCAAGAGATACTTCTAGGAAATAATCGATGTCAGCGACTTTTTTCTTTTTTAAAGAGAGAGAGAGAGAGAGAGAGAATTTTTTTAATATTTATTTTTTAGTTATCGACGGACACAACAGCTTTGTTTGTATGTGGTGCTGAGGATCGAACTTGGGCCGCACGCATGCCAGGCGAGGTCACTACCACTTGAGCCACATCCCCATCCCAATAAGACACCCATATTTGGGTTTGGACTGGTGAAGAGATTTGTGGTATAAACATGGGGTGTAAATATTTTTTAATAAACTGCAATTATTTCACATGAGGATGTAACCAGAAGTAGAATCATTGGATCACATGATCATTCAATTTCAATTTGTTTAGGAACCACTCACCGTACTCTGTTTCACAGGGGCTGCATCATTTTTCATTCTCCACATACGTGCAGGCCTTCCAACCTCTATATATTCTCACCGACACTCCTGTTTCCTTGTTCTTGTTCTGTCTCCTTCCCTCCCTCTTGTAACAGCCATCCTGGCGTATGCAAAGTGGTTATCTCATTGTGGTTTTGACCTATTTTTTTTTTCATTGTACATTTTGCACAACAATAAATTTCTGAGAACGGATCCAACAACAACAGTACATTTTATTCAGAACATGCAGGGAATTCATGACTCTGAATTGTCATAGATTAGTTATTGTGCTGTTTTACCATGATAGCATATTAGTAACTGAGTATTAGAACCTGTGGTGGTATATGCAAGAGTTACAGAGTACAGGGAATAGCAGATTTATTTATGCAGTGATCCAGAAAACACTTCTTAATGAAAGCTGCATGTTCACTGGATCAGGAGAAGATGGGGATATGAGGCAGAGCTGAGAGGAGGTATCCCTGAGAGTGAGAAGGGGGATGATGCCTCCAAGGAGGAGAAGTGGCAGATGTGGCACAGCAGCAGCCAGTAGCCCTTCTTCAGACAGGAATGAAGCAGAGCTGGTACAAAGGTGGCACACGGCCAAACGCATTGGCAATGGGGGTGGTGTCGATGTCCTTGGGGTCAATCACAGGTTTCAGCTTAAAATTCTGTAAAATGGTGGTCAGGAACAAAAACAGCTCCATGCGGGCCAGGCCCTCTCCCAAACATATACGTTTTCCTAAAGATGACAAACACAGAGTTTTCCCTCCTTAAACATTAGGTTCTGAAATATTTTAAAGAATATTCAGTAACTTATATGATGAATGATTACTTATGTGTATGGCTCAAAGACAGAATGGTTGGAGAGACAGATGCATAGAAGATTAGTCACAGTCGCTACCCACTTGTATCTCATTTTATCAGGCACTCTGTGCTAGACAGCTTTTTGTTCTTATACTTCCTTCATGACCTATGTCCTTGTCATATCCTCTTTACAATGCATGCTTAGAAGGTGGTAGACTCTAAGCCTCTATAAGTTTTCTCATAATAGTCATGCTTCCGCAGAAGCATGGCTCACTTCAAATTCTACTTTCTCTTATTTTGTTTTATCCAGCTAAATATGAGTGACTTAAAAGAAGGGCTCCGTCCTTAACATCTGGATATGGACAGTACCAGGCCCAACATGGGCATCAAAATCCTTAGCAAAAAAATGAAGGTAACTCCATGTCTAGAGTCTTGGCACACACAATTTAACGATGAGACAGAATTCCTAAACGCATGATCATGAGAAGAGGAAGAGGATGGTGCTCTGGAATCACTGCAGACTCTCCTTCCACATTCCCAAGGTTTTGTTCAGCCTTCATTTACCTGGTATGCTCTGACCCCCTAGATCTATAGAAAACATTCTCTCCTGGACTCCATTACTTCTGTAAGGTGCCCTGCCTTCTCTTCTTCCCTTGCTCCCCACCTCCTGTAAGCCAGCTCAACCCTCTTTCCCTTGTATCTGGTGACCTGTGCTGGGTTCACAAATCTGACTATTCCAATAATTTAAGAAAATGGCAAAGGAAGCATGGAAACACACAAAAAAAGTACCTTTTCAAAATCCAGGACAGCTCTCCAACCTTAGGGGTCCATGGAAAGAGAGAGCCACTGGAATTCTTTATTCTTACATAGGAGACATACAAGGGGAGATTCCATGGAACATTCTATCCCAAAAAGGGCAAGGGGTAGGATTACAAAGGAAGAGGTGAGTGTAACTCAACCCACCAGGTAATGCCTACTCCTGGAGCCAGGCCTTATTATCCAGAGCAGAGGTAAAGCCCAAGTTATTGTGGGGCACAATAATTATTTAGCATCTCTTGCTCAGGACTTAAGGGCATGTATTTCCAGAGTGGCTCAAAACACACTTGTTAAAATGTTTTGGGATATAAAAAAGCAGAATGAAAGCAACTTCATCCTCTGCCTCCCCAGAAACCTGTGCTTCCCTCTCTCACAGCACAGGTTTTCATGATTACAATGATCTGTTTGTTCATCTGCTTCCTAACTCAGGAGTGAGACTCTTAAGAGCCCATTATGTATGCTAGGCTACTTGGCATCTAAGAGTGAAACTCTTAGAAGTTTCAGCTGAGTAGCTTGTTGATAAAGCCAGAGGCACAATTCAACCAAACTATACTATAGCTTTATCAATTTGAAAAACTGGGTCAGACACTCCGCAAAGTCCCACCAAAGGAACCCAGTAGTGAAGCTGCATCACAAATAAGGGAAAGTGCAAGGGTATTGGAGTGGAGCTCCAATTTGATAATGTACAATGAGCAAATATACCAGCTCCAAATGAGGCACCCATGTAAGTTGCATCTGTTCCTAAAAAAATTATCTTGTTCCCTAAAGTTACAAATGGAAATGAATTTTTATTACCTGATGAGAAAGGCATAAAGTAGTCACTTTTCTTAAAGTTGCCACTCTCATCCAGAAAGTGACCAGGGTCGAACACCTCTGGATTAGGGAATTCCTTATCGTCATGCAGCACGGAAGTCAGTGATGTTATTATTCTTGTTCCCTGGAAACAACAGACAGATAAAATTAGCTATAAAAAAGTTGAATAGAGGATTGGGGTTGTGGCTCAGTGGTAGAGCGCTTGCCTCGCACGTGTGAGGCACTAGGTTTGATTCTCAGCACTGCATATAAATAAATGAATAAAATAAAATTCCATCAACAATTAAAACAATGTTTTAAGTCAAATGGAAAGAAATAATAGAATTCACCTGATCTATATTTGAGGAAATCCAGGTCCAAGGAAACACAGTGACATTTCCAGAAAGACAAACCAGGCAAGAGTTTAAGCCCACAAGCAGTAATTTCGTGAAAGCATCCTCTGTGAGCAGTTGCAGGGCTGAGTACTGGGAATATGGATGCTAGACCTTCTGAATTCTACTTAGCACCAAGCTGGGACCTTGGTGTCTGTCCCCACCTGTTGCTCTATCTCATCAATTCACTTTTTGCATATCTCACATGTGGTTTACGGTTCAAAATAGAATTTTGGGCTCACTCTTGATAAGTCAGGAGTATTTAGAATTTTTTCATGTGAATTTTTTTGAGCTCTGATCTGAATTAAAATGACCACTGGTGAGATATTAACAAGTACACTAACACCTATTGAGCACTTATCATTGGAATGTAATATGTTTCATTTTATTTCAAACATGGAGGAACTCTTCACAGATGAATCCTATCTTAAAAACACAGCTGGGGTGAAAATTAGAAAAATCACCATGTTGTAACAATTCAGGTAGGATCATCAAGTCAGGCATGGGTCATCAATTAGTGTTAAAACTTCTTGTTGAAGTAGATGGGGTAGAGAGAGAAGATGGGAGGGGAGGGGAGGGGGGATAGTAGGGGATAGGAAAGGTAGCAGAATACAACAGTTACTAAGAGGGCATTATGTAAAAATGTGGATGTGTAACCGATGTGATTCTGCAATCTGTATTTGGGGTAAAAATGGGAGTTCATAACCCACTTGAATCTAATGTATGAAATATGATATGTCAAGAGCTTTGTAATGTTTTGAACAACCAATAAAAAAAGAAAAAAAAACTTCTTGTTGAGGGCTGGGGTTGTGGCTCAGTGGTTGAGCACTTACCTTGCATGTGTAAAGCACTGGGTTCAATCCTCAGTGCTTATAAATAAATAAAGATATTGTGTTCATCTACAACTAAAATAAAATAGTTTTTTTAAAAATGTTGGTGGAGTTATTGGAAACAGGTTATTCATGATGTCTTAAATAAGCAGAATCTCTGAACATCGTTTTTATTTTTATTTTTAATAACAGAACCTCAGCAATAAAGAGATCTGGCAAACATTCCCATACTAAGTGTGAATCTTAGTAGCACCAATAATGGAACAAACTGAAATCATGTGCTACCAGCCACAATCTAATATAGTAGGACATACATGATATCATCTATATAATGTTCTTTTCCAAAACACAAAACTGGCTTCTAATCTCCAAGAAAACGTTCACACAAAATCAAGCTGAGGAACATTTTACATGACTGTGGATTGAACTCTTCAAAGGTGTCAGGGTACGCTGCTACATTGTTGGTGGCACTACAGATTAGCACAACTACTCTGGAAAGCAGTGTGGAAATTCCTCAAAAAACTAAAAGTGAATCCACCATATGACCCAGGCACTCCTTGGCATTTATCCTAAAAAAAAAAAAACTAAAATCCAAATAATATAGCAATACATTCATTTTCATGTTTATAGCAGTACAATTCACATTAACCAAATCAGGGAATTATCCCAGATGCCTGTCAATATAAGAATGAATCAAGACAATAATTAAATTCACCATTTCTGTACATTGTGATCCAACTGTAAATATCTTGATAGCAAATATCTGTTTTTTAGGGTTTATATTGTTTATATTAGGATCTGTTAAAATTGCCCTTAACCTCAAAGGAGAGGTATTATAACCTTACAAGGGCACTATAAGCCTATAGGGTAAAAACCATAATGCCTCAGATCCACAGTGCTAGAAAGGAAGATACACAAGCAACATGAAAGTCAAGGGAAGAAAGTGCCCCACACAAATCAAGATACCACATAATTAGAATCCATGGCCAGCACTGCAGAAAAAATTACAGAGAAGGTGTTCAGGATGTACATAATTAAATGTCCTGTGAATTAAAGGATGATATAAGAGAGCAAATGCAGGCAGCAAAAAATCACTTTGACAAAGAGCTACATAAACAAATACAGAAAACAAAAGATTACTTCAATAAGGAGATAGAGATTCTTAAAAAAAACAGAAATCCTTGAAATGAAATAAACAATAAACTAAATTAAATTTTCAATTGAAATCATCACCAACAGAGTAGACAACTTGGAAGACAGGACCTCAGACAATGAAGATAAAATATATAATATTGAAAAGAATGTAGACCCACACAGTGAAAATGGTAAGAAACCATGAGCAGAACATTCAAGAAATATGGAATAGCATAAAAAGGCCAAATTTAAGAGTTAATGGGATAGAGGAAGGCACAGAGTTACAAACCAAAGGAATGAGCAATCTATTCAATGAAATATCAGAAAATTTTCCAAACATAAAGAATGAATTGGAAAATCAAATGCAAGAGGCTTACAGAATACCAAATATACAAAATCACCATAGACCAACACCAAGGCACATTATAAAGAAAATGCCCAACATAAAAAGAATAAGGAGAGAATATTAAAAGACATGAGAGAAAGGAACCAGAGTAAATATAGTACATATATATATATATAATTTAAACTAATTAGATTATGTGCAAGTTTTTCAACCAAGACCCTGGAAGCTAGAAAATCCTGGAACAACATATATCGAGCTCAGAAAGAAAATGGATGCCAACCAAGAATCTTATATCCAGAAAAATGAAGCTTCATATTTGATGATGAAATAAAAACCTTCTATTAGAAACAAAAGTTGAAAGAATTTACAACTCAAAAGCCGGCACTACAGAACATCCTTGGCAAAATATTCCATGAAGAAGAATTAAAAAACAAAAATGAAAATCAACAAAAGGAATTATTATACTAAAGAAAAAACTAATCAAAGAAGAAACCAAGCCAAGTAAAATGCCAAAAATAAACAAAAATGGCTGGGAATATAAACCAGGCCTCAATAATAATCCTGAATGTTAATGACCTAAACTCACCAACCAAAAGACATAGACTAGCAGATTTGATTTAAAAAAATAATAATATGCTGCCTCCAAGACACTAATCTCTAAGGAAAAGACATCCACAGACTGAAGGTGAAAGGTTGAAAAACATCATACTACTCACATGGACTGTGGAAGGAAGCAGTACATATCAAATAATGTAAACTTCAAGTCAAAGTTAACCAAAAGGGGAAAAAATGAATATTTCATACTGCTTAAGGGAATCTTATCAACAAAACATAATAATAATAAATTTATATGCCCCAAACAATAGAGCATCTGTGTTCATCAAACAAACTCTTCTCAAGTTCAAGAGTCAAATAGACAACAACACAATAATTCTGGGAGACTTTTAACAGTCCTCTTTCACCACTGGATAGATCATCCAAACAAAAGCTGAACAAAGAAACTATAGAACTCAATAATACAATCAATAACTTAGATTTAACTGACATATATAGAATAATTCATCCTTCAATGAACAAATACACTTTCTTCTCAGCAGCACATGGATCCTTCTCTAAAATAGACCATATATTATGCCACAAAGCAACTCTTAGCAAATATAAAAAAGTAGAGATACCTGCATTCTATCAGATCATAATGGAATGAAATTAGAAATCAATGATAAAATAAAAAATAGAAGCTACTCCAACACCTGGAGACTAAATAATATGCTACTGAATGAGCAATGGCTTTTAAAAGATATCAAAGAGAAGATTAAAAATTCTTAGAGATGAATGAGAATACAGATACAACATATCGAAATCTCTGGGACACTATGAAGGCATTACTAAGGAAAGTTCATTGCATAGAGTTCATTCCTTAAAAGAAGAAAAAGTCAACAAATAAATGACTTACCATTACATCTCAAAACCCTAGAAAAAGAACAAAGCAACACCAAAATTAGTAGAAGACAGGAAATATTAAAATCAGAGCTAAAATCAATGAAATTGAAACAAATGAAGCAATTGAAAGAATTGACAAAACAAAAAGTTGGTTCTTTGAAAAAATAAATAAAATTGACAAACTCTTAGCCATGCTAATGAAGAGAAGATGAAAGAAAACTGAGAAAACTCAAATTACTAACATACATGATGAAAAAGGAAATATCACAAGCAGAGGTTTCCATCCTCATATCAAATAGACTTCAAGCCAAAGACCTACAGAAATCACAATAGACACTACGGAAAAACAGAAGATAATTAGAAATTATTTTGAAAACCTGTACTTTAATATAAAATATCAAAGGCATTGAAAAATTTCTAGACTCATATGATTTGCCCAAATTGAATCAGGATGATATGTACAATTTAAACAGATTAATTTCAAGCAATGAAATAAAAATCACCATCAGAATTCTACCAACCAAGAAAAGCCCAGGACCACATGGAAACACAGCTGAGCCCTACAAGACCTTTAAAGAAGAACTAATACCAACACTCTTCAATTTATTTCAGGAAATAGAAAGAGAGGGAGCACTTCCAAACTCATTCTATGAGGCCAATATCACCCTGATTCTAAAACCAGGCAAAGACACAACAAAGAAAGAAAACTTCAGACCAATATCTCTAATGAATAGAGATGCAAAAATTCTCAATAAAATTCTGGCAAATTGAATACAAAAACATATCAAAAAGATACTTGGGGCTGGGGTTGTGGCTCAGTGGTACAGTGCTCACCTACTATGCATGAGGCACTGTGTTTGATTCTTACCACTACATAAATATAAAATAAAGATACTGTGTTGACCTAAAACTTAAAAATAAATATTTTTTTAAAAAGATAATGCACCACAATCAAGTGGGATTCATTCCAGGGATGCAAGGTTCGTTCCACATACAGGAAACA